TACATATTATAAAAATAATCTTTTACTAAAAAATGTTCAATTAATTTTAGTTGGGATTCCTATGACATAATAATTTATACTATTATCTATGCAATTATTGCTGGTCTCCAGTGGTTCGTTTCAGATATAAAAGCGTTTCTAACATCTTGCCTTACCGCCAAGCTTACAACATCAATCAGTTCGCCACGATATAAAAAAATGGAGGGGTGACAGAATGTCGCTTCTATAATATTCTATGCTATAACCACAGATTATAAAAACTGTGCTATAACCATGGTTTATTATCATGATTCAATGATTCATAATCTTAAAGCTGATAACGTTGTGATWATAAGTAAAAATAATAATAACAATTTAACATATTTTGTATTTATGGCAACTGATAAGAGAAAAAGTTAATTTTTTCACTAKTCAAGATTTTTAGAAAAAGAATAAGAAACTTCTTGTTTACCGCGCTGTCTACCTATATGTCCTCGTATATTGATCGTCTGATGTAGGGTATGGAAATATATAAGTGTAGGACTACTAGAATTAAAGTGGCATAAATTGATATTAAACAATAGAAAATTATATAGCATTTAGTAGGATGTACTTTTTCTCTGATTAGTGTAAAATAAACTGATATATAATTCATTGATGCTAGTTAATTTTCCATTATTTTTCTTAACCAATTTAATTTTTTGTGTAAACTACTAACAAATTATATTATTATCTTAAAATGGAACAAAAGTTACGCAAGAAAAGGTTAAAGTATGAATCTATGTTGAAGAAAGACATGAATATTGAAGCTAGCTCAAGTCCTTCTAGGGTAATACATTTATGAAATATTATTTATAAGCATAACTTATGCTGATTACCAAAGTATTATTTTTATCACTTACAATTTATAATGTAGTTTATTATTAATTATGATGTACAACTAAATACCTACTCGACTATAAATAGTTTTAATTATTTGGAATTTAGTCAATTAACTGGCTAAAAAATATGATCTCAATTTCAGGACCACACTAATCTCCACATTTTTCACTTATTCTTAAACATATTTCCTGAAAATCCATCATGTCGTTACTGTTAAATTATATAATTGTGTACATTTCTTCATATTTACTTATTGTATTATTKTAAWTAAAAATGATTAGTTTTCGAATAGATTGCTTTTTAAATTATTAATTGATTAAATTAGTCATTAAATTATTCATTAATAATTATTTTGTTTTAGAATTTAATGGTGTGCAATTATGGTTTGGTGAATGGTTTAAGTAGAAACGATGTATTGCAAGTTTTTTCTCAATATGGTCAAKTAGAGCGCATAATTATGTTACCTCATAAATCATATTGCTTTATTAGTTTTCCCAATATACAGGAAGCAATAAATGCATGGGAAAAAGTGAATTGGAAAGTAAATAGTCTTCCTGAACAAAAATTGTTTTATTTGATTTATACCGTCTCAGGTAATTATTATATATTATTAAATATATAATTAATGTATTAAATATAATATCAAATACATTTAATTATATTTCCATTGCAGTCCCAAAATTAATAGAGATATCAACTTCAACCCCTCCTGGATTAGAAGTTATTGAAAATTTTATTACAGAAAAAGAAGAACATTTTATGTTACAATATTTAAAAAAACATTGGTCCAAATCAAGTAAATGTTTTGCTGTTAGTTATTCAAATTTTGTAAATAATTTTATAATTTTATTAAATTTGTAGGTTCAATGAAGCATCGTCAAGTAAAACATTATGGATATGAATTTGATTACGACAATAACGGAGTACGATTTGGTTCATGTGATCCAATTCCTAAAGAATTTGAATTTATTTTAAATGCTATATATTTGCGTTTAAAATGGCACCCTAATCAAATAACTATTAATAAATATTTACCTGGACAAGGTATAAATATTCAAAAACATAAATTATCTACTAAAAAATCTGCATAATATCTTGTTTTTAAATTTAAAATAGTTACAAGTTATTTTTCATTAAATATTTTTTTTTATTTGGGTTTATGTATACTTATTCTTTTGTGTTTTGGCAAACAATAGTATTAACCAGAGGCGTCAAATCCTATGTTTAGGTCAGGCCATGGCCCAACATATTTTGAAAATTTAGGATAGGGCTGTTCCATATTGACCACTTTCCTCTCCATGCTATGCCATTTTTACCAATATTAAGATATTGGGTCTCTTGAAATATTTTTCGCCCTACCAGATTTTTAGGACTTTTGCGCCACTGGTATGGATTAGCTTTTATGTAATTATTATGTGTTTCTTTATTTTTCAGGGATTCCAAGTCACATAGATACTCATGGGGTATTTGACGAATATGTTTTGTCTCTATCATTGAATTCTGATATTGTCATGGAATTCAGAAAAGGAAACTGTCATAGTAGTATTTTRCTTAGGTCCAAATCTCTTTTAATTATGTCTGGTGAATCAAGGTTTGATTGGACTCATGGCATAACACCCAGAAAATTTGATATGATTAACACAGCAGATGGTCATGATATTATTTGTCGTGGAACTAGAATTTCTGTAACATTTAGACAAGTAATTCAGAAYCATCATCAAAACATTGAGGTAAATAAAATACTAGTTCTTAATTAATAAACTATTAATATACTACTTCTAGTTTACTAAATTACTATTTTAACAGCTACTATTTTATGATCTATGATCTTTATTATTTTTGGAAAACCATATTAATTCATTGACATAATAGTAAACAATGTGGTTAACACATGATAATTGATTACAATACATATCTTATAATATTAGTTTATATTAGTCTCTTCTCTAAACTAGCTTGAGTAATTGATGYACTACTTATAAAAATGTATAATTTAATTGAAAATTAACTAATATAATATGATTGTTTTCAGGTTAAAAGAAATTTATATGAAATATTAGGTTGTRATAAAACCACCCCTTTTGAAACATTGAAGGATAATTATAGAAAATTGCTTGTTAAGCTTCATCCAGATAAAAGTATTTTATCATCATCAACAGCTGCTTGTGCCGAATTGAATAAAGCATGGAGTGTTCTTAAAGATTCTGAATTAAAAAAAACATATGATGAGCAAATTGAACAATGTGATATTGATACAGAAGTAACAATCTTTGAAACTATAAATATTAGTGATTTAGAAAATAATGAAGTGGAAGAAGTATATTCCTACAGATGTCGTTGTGGAGGCATGTTTCTAGTACCTAAGTCAATGGTTGTTGATATTGATCAGAATGAACCTATATTATATCCTTGTGACGATTGTTCTTTATTTATTAAGATTATGTTACCAAACACTAATATTTTTTAATAAAAAAAAGTATAATGAGTCAATAAATAGTTTTTGTGTATTTAATGTGTGTATAAATAAATGACGATAATCATAATATAAATGTAACTATGATGAAAGAAGAAAATTGAATTGTCTTTGAAATGAATTTAAACATTTGATATATGTTAAGTATTTTAAATTCTTGTTAATTTAATTACAAAAGCACAACTTCGTTAAACAAGCAATTAATTTTGTCCTATATTACTAAATTAAGGCTATTTATAACCCCCTCCTCTTCGACATAAAAGTTAAAAAACTATTGTAGATAAAATATTTTTATATGCAAATATGTTAACTAGGGCAGAATAAAATAAAAAAGATTTAAGTTTTAAAGTAAGGTATCTATGTTAACAAAAATATCACTGTAATGTATGGAACACTAAAGTTAATAATAGTTAATTGATTATTTGATTATGACTTATTTCTTTGAA